TAGGTGAGGCAAAGGGTTATACTGCCTTGCAGCTAATAAAGAATAAACTCACATGCACTTTAAATGGAAAGATTCAGATCTGCTTCTTGAACAAACCTGTGCAACTCTTTTGCTCTAATTATAGTCTTTTCTATGGCATGCAACACTATCCCAAGTGCTTCACATATTTTTTCTTCCCAAAACCCCTGTGAAGTGGGTCCTTATTCATAATACACTGGGGACTGAGCCAGAAATATTAAGATTGAAAGTATCAATTCATTTTGGGTGCCTAATTTGAACATGTAACCCCTGGCTTTTCAGAGTGCTTGTAAATAGTGGGCACCTATACAGGTGCAGGGAGGCTGCTCCGATGTGCTGTAATTACAGTGCTTTGGAGCAGACTTGATTAATCATGCTCCATCAGACTCCATGGTAATTACCATGCTCCATCAGACTCCAACGCAACGTGCATCAGCATCCCTGCACTGAAAAATGGTGACGGGGTACTTTAACTAAAGCTTGTTCAACAAGCTTTAGTTAAAGTGCCCCCACAGCCATTTTTCAGTGTGGGGACACTGATACACATGACACTTCAGGTGCTTTAATTAGAGTGGCTCATGGAGCTGCTCTAATTAAAGCGCCCCCCCCCCGAGCACACGTATAAACATCCATAGATATTCAAAGCAGGGCTCTTGTTGAGTTTAGTTGTAACTCCAACAGCTTGACATTTCTGTAAGTCAGGTCCCAGGGTCTCAAGTTGGGCATCCAGAAAATGAGAAGCAAAGAATTAGCTACAACCTGTGAAATGTTTACTTTAAGTGACTTACCTACTGTCACAACAGAATTCAGACTCACGTAAAATTCAACACTCCTAGGTAGCATTTAACTACTTTAACAATGCAAACCTACCTTTCCCATCTTGAACTTCAATACCCCATTTATTCCAGACCCTCCAACTTACACAAGCAGGGCTGGACTCTTTAGATCTACTAACCAGCTCACTGAACACTGAGCTAGTGGAAAAACTGATAACAATAGGTTATCATGCTCTATGTGGAGCAACACTAGAGATAAATGAGACATGCATGTTACCAGTGAGTTTTACAGCTATTTGCTGATAGCAGAGGAATGGGGAAATCCATGGATATTGGGTTCTATTGTAGGCTGTGAAGAAAACACATAAGGCATTTATACACATGCTCTGGGAGTGGGAGGGCACTTTCATTAGAGCAGCTCCAAGGCTTGTTCAGCGAGCTTTAGTTGAAGCACCACCTCCACCATTTTGAAGTGCAGAGATGCTGATACACAAGAAAGTGGAGGCTGCTGGAGTGCGGTAATCACCACGTACTGTAATTACAGTGCATTGGCTCAGCCTCACTGCTTGTGCATAGGTGCCCATACTCCTCCATCCATTTCCACCAAGCACAAACATTTTTGTTCTGTTACCTCTGGCCATCCTTTATCCCATTCCTTTCTCTCTCTCACCTGAGTCCTTTTTTCTTTATGTAACTTGTAGCAGTCTGCACTCCTCATGATTCTCATCCTACTACCCAAATATGTCCTTTTTTCACCTTTTTGGACTCTTGAAACTGAAGTTATAGGGACTCCGTATATTAGAGAAATTCATGTTATTATATTCTTGATTCTCTTGTGCTTCTGATACAGCAATCTGTGACATTTTGTCAGCTAGTTCCAGTTCTCCCTCATCTGCTCTTTCTTCAAGTGCCTCTAGTAGTCTTCCTTTCACTGCTGATGATCCCTATCCACACTGGTTTTCAATCTCCCCCCCTGGGTTCCTCATCCAATCTCAGAGGGCAGAAATAGAGGTCTTCAAACCAAAACAGCAGATATGCTTTATTGTGCAAAATTCACACTCCCCATTCTTCAGTATCAAGCAGGGACTGGAAGAGGGACAAGTTCTCCTTCCCTGTGTCCCTCGCTGCCACACACCTCCTTGCTGGGCCCATGCTGACCTGTCCAGGTATGGGGTAGTCTGGTTCCAGCAAGCAGGCATGGGACAAAGCAGGAGCCAGGGAGTTCCTGGCACTCAGTGCCTTCACACTGGATCCCAAGCCAACATATGCATCATGCAGAGGCACTAGTCAGCACAGGTCCTGGCCAGGGATGCCCCAGCTCCTATACCTCTGTGCTGCACCATGCCAGAACCAGCATTGGCCAAGTGCCTCTGAAATGGCACTATTTAAAGCTACCTTTTGTTGCAGCCATTGATGTGGTGTGGAGAAAGGGTAGTAATGGTCAACAAACAGACATCTATGCCACCATAAAAATTCTTATGGAGACACAAATGCTACATCAGATGATGTCTGTTTCTCTCCAGAGTCTGTCATTGTCTCCCTGGCTTCTTCTGTCAGGCACTGCCCAGCAAGACCAAGTCCCTACTCTAAATTCAGTTCCTTGGTAGCTCCAATTTCCCTCCCTCAACCTCTTATTCCCTTACCCAGTGGTTTTAAAGTCCCATTCTCCCAAATTTCTAATCCCAATCCCAGTCTTCTTGCTCAGCCACTCCCAGTCTCCCTTAACCTAATTTCCTTCTCTCTTGTCTACCCGTCTCCAGTCCTAGTGCACCCTCCCAACAGCTGTTTTTCTCTATGCAGTCTGGCCTCAACAGGGAGGTCACTGAGAACACAGGAGAACAGATCTTTGGCCTCAATTCTGGTGCCTTGAAAAAAAGTTATAACCAAAATTGCAGGGAAATACCTGCCCAGGCCTGGACTGCAGTATACTGGGTATGGACAGAATCGTTAAGTGATTTAGATGCAAAACTCTAGGGAATCTTTTCTCAGCATGAATGAACTGTGATTTTTAAAAGGCTTATAAACTGGAGAAATTTAATCAGATGTTCATTTGCCTTTTTGTGCTCTCATTCCTAACATGAATACCACCCCCTAACTAATTTCACATTCTTGCTTGAAGGCAGGGGAACACCACCACTTTTTAATAATGAGATTGCTGATTTTTTTTAATGCAGGAGAAAACTAGCTTTATCTTTGGAAAGGTCCTAACCATTTTTATAAAATAGTTAGCCTGAGCAGGCAAACAATGTGGAAAACATCAGCTCAAATAGTTACAGTTTGACAAAATTACAATAACTGATTATGGTTCTTACAATGGGAAATGCTCAACAATCTTAATAGACAGTGTTACCAGGTCAGGCTATAATAAATGTGCTTTTATGATGACAAATCTATTCTTGACACTGAATAATTGACTATAAAAGGAGCTACACAACTTCATTATATAGTATTAAAATACACGTATGTTTTATAGACTGTAAAACTACATTCCTAGAGTTAATTTTATTTACCCATCAAGTAAAACTGGACATCCGAAAGGAGTGGCCACCTATATCTTGTTCTTCTGCTTGTAAGATAGTCTTGAACAACCAGTGCCATTTCTGACCAAAATAACTAACACATCTTTTGGAGAAGGAATCTTACACTTCTTCTTCAGAACATACAATAGCTCAACCAACACCAAAAATCTTGAAATCTCTACTACATTAAGACACTGAACTATACATGTTGCACCTGTTGCTCCTTCTGAGGAGAAGATGATAGAACAAAAGAGAATGACAGCTGTTAGTCACTTTTCTTATTGTACTACTAGATATTATGTGGTATAAGGACTATATAAAATAGTGTACAACTACTTTAACTATGTTTTAAATTTTCCTAAAATTGAAGTAAAAATTAAAATCCTGAACTGAAGCTCATTTTGAAACAGACACACACACACACACACACATACTGCATTACATGTACTTGGCAATATACAACATTAAAACACTGTCAGATTTTGGTCCTTTCTAACTCATCAGGATCTCAAGGCTTGTCTGGGAAATGTCACAGGCCAAATTCTGGCAGATACTCCCATGCTCATTCTGCTATCCTAAATGCATTTTTTCAGTAACTTTATCTAGCAAGACACAAGAAATTTTAATTGCTTGTAAAAAGGTCCTAATGTACACTTACATGTAAGAAAAACTAACAATTTCAATAAATTGTAGGTTTTGTCTAATTAACCCATACAAAGCTCTGACCTTTAAAATATATGAAACTTTACCAATAAACATTTTAATATTAAAAGACTTTGTGTGTCAACTTAATACAGTTTCTATTATTTGATTCATCTTTGTCATTTGTGAACAGTAACTTCCTGGAGGTTTAGTTTACTGTTTAGAAAATTGCTTTCACACATCCTAGACATTTCTACTTTGAAAAAAAAAAAAAAAAAGCTTTATGAAAGTCTAAACAAGAGTTGGGACCAAGGTTCCCTCTAAGGTGCGCGCATGCACGGCTGCACACAACTGGAAGAGTGGCCATGCACAGCCTTTTCAAGGCCATGCATCAGGAGAGTGAGGGGCGGGAGCCTGGCGTGGGCTCCGCCAGCTCTGGGGAAGTGCTCTGCTCCCCCACAACAGGGCCGGGGAGTGGAGCACTTCCCTGGAGCTGGCAGAGCCTGCGCCAGAGGAGCCGCTGCCCACCCCAAGTGAGGCTCCACTGGCTCTGGGACACTGTGGGACACGCCCTGCAAGGCCATGAAGGGGAGCAGAGGAGTGTCCTGGAGCTGGTGGAGCCTCACTTGGGGCAGGCAGCAGCTCCTCCCCGAGGTGAGGCAAGGCAGGGATGGCAGCTGGCTCTGGCTCCGCAGGCTCCAGGGAAGTGCTCCATTCCCCGGCTCTGATGTGGGGGAGTGGAGCACTTCCCCGGAGCTGGAGAAGCCTGCGCCAGCCCCTGGCCCCCAGCCTAGGCTCCAGCCTCTGGCCCCAGCCCCACCGTCAGCCCCTAAGCTCCAGCCTCTGGCCCCAGCCCCCAGCCTCTGGCCCTGCCCTCAGCCTCTGGCCCCCTGGCTCCAGCCTCCAGCCCTCAGCCCCAGCCTCCAGCTCCTGGCCCCCTTCGGTAAGTGTACCACACCAGACTGAGGCGGCGGGCTCACAGACCACTACTCCTTAGAAGGAACATTGGTTGGGACCCATAAGAAAAAGAGTAAAACAAACTTACTGTTTCTAGGGCCATTACACGATCCTGCAAATAAAACAGAACATATAATTAGAAGGTAAGGAGAACAAATAAAACATATGTTGAATGTGATGAAAAGATATCATTTTGTTTTTACTGATATAAGAAGTTAGGATCTTCTGTACAAAACGTTATTATGATATAATGTAGCAATATAGCAATACTATATAATACTATACAAGCCTATTTAGTCCAGTATCCATCTCATTTCTTACACTTACTTCAACGGAAGGTGCTAGAAGACTTGGAAGAATGTATACGGAAGGAAAGTTTCTTCCTTCCTGCCATCAGAAGCCAACTTAGGACTTAAAACAGGACAGTTAGTACTGCTTTGAAAACTTATTTACTGTTATTATTTTGAGTATTTTTTTAACCACTCCCTTTGTGAACCTGCTAAGCTCATGGTCTCGGCGATGTCTTGCAGCAATGAGCTCTGATATCTAATTGTGTTTTGAAAAGTATTTCATTTCATCAGCTTTAAATTTGTCCACTTCCATTTCTATTAAATGCTCCCTTACCTTTCTTGTATAGGATTATAATCAGATATTTATCAGGTCCTCTTATTTGTCTCCTCTTAATTTAAATTTTCCAATTTTTTTCAAATTATTCATATGAGAATGTCTCCATGTTTCTCCTCATTTTCATTGTTTATAAAGGTTAAGCCAAACCAAATATAATATTTCAAAGGAGTACTGGTTTTACTAAGGAATCAATTTGGATTGATTTTAATAAAAAACATTATTATATTTTCAGTATTGCTTCTTCTCTCTCATGAATCCTGACATTTTGTTTGTTTTTTGATCAATGCTGAATGCTAAACAGAAGGCTTCATTGCCTGTGATGTGACAGTTTTCAAGAGTTCATCATTTTTGCATCTACTCAAGCTGTGGTTTACAAAGCTAAAAAAGAAAATTATGTAAGCTAGCCAGAAGAGTAGAATTAAAGAATGACTATCAACATTTTAGTAGGGATAAAAACAAAACCTAACACACACAAAAGGAAGACTCAAAATATTTGTCAAGTATTTGTCAATAATCAAGTAAAGGCATGCAATTGAAAAGAGAGAAAAAAAATTAGTATGCATTCCCATGTAAACCACCTGTAAATAGTGTCCCATTCTTTCCCCCTCCTTGTGTATGCTATTCTGATTTACAATGGCATACAGAGGTACAACTAGTCAAAACTGTGCCTTCTTTGGTGGTTGTGCATGGTGCAGAGGCAGCAGCTGGAGCCTAGCATTTGCGGGAGGATGTCACCTCTCTTTTTGTCACTGACAAGTGTGTCAACCAGCCAAATAAAACACTCTGGCAAAAAAAAATGTGATGTCTCCCCCTTCCCTGAATATCAACAAACCTTCAGCTGTGTGCTGCCACTGCTGCTCTGCCCTTCCAGCTGTCAGAGCTGGAGCCACTGCAGGAAAGGCAGAGGAGAAGATAGGGGGTAATGCTGCACTCCCTTAGCTCCATTCTGGTGACCTCACACCAGCCAGGCAGTGCTTGGGGCTTACATCCTGTTTGCCTACCCCACCATTATACTACTGATTACATATATATTTTTTAATCATCATGCCACCTTTATTTAGAAGGATGTGGAGAGAACAGGATTTGCTGGTAAAGCTATAATGAGTGATTACCTGAGTTTCCTTTTGCCAGTGTAGTTTATGCAAGTTCCCCAAATGAAACACATTATACTGGCAAAAGGGATCTTTTGTTCTTTTGCCAAGAACATACTTCTTTCTTTTCAGAAGCTATGGGGAGTGAAACATCACCTATAGCTAACCCTTTCTTGCCAGCCCATGCACATGCCTGGTTTTTAAAAAAATTACTCTTTCCTCTGGTACCTGTTGATACATGTAGAACATGTGACTCCAGATTCACAGCTGGAAAGATTTTATATGGTACTTACTATCTCAGAATAGAGTTTGGGGCCTGCCAAAACTGCATGGCAGAAACTGGGTAACATATTGTCACTTCTAGTTGCTTGGGGCCTGGTGCCCAGTTTTTCTACAATAGATACATATTTCTGAAAAGCAGAACATTGTTTTCAATACACACATATGCACATACACTGTACAAGGCAAAAATAAAACTGCTTAGCTTGCTTGTGATTATGTGGTCTCAGAAGATAGATCATAAAAAGGGAGAAAGAGTGGTGTTAGGAATTGCAAAATTTGTAATTATTTTATTAGTATGTCACATTTTAGCACTTTATTTTATTGAAATGGCCTTTTCATAGCTAAGACAGTTATCAGCTGCTATCTATAAAAACCAGGTCAGCAGATTTGTTCCAGGTGTGGGGTAGTACGGTTAGTCCTGCTAATTTGAATACACCATTTGTGAAAAAAAAAAATCTGTGGATTCTCCAGGTAAACTCCAGGAACTCTTTGACACCCTGAAAGCAACGCAAGTTCTTGAGAAATAATTGCTCAATCTTTTCTTATCTCCTTGTGTTATGAGCAATATCATTCCCTAAGACACAAGAGTTGTTGGAAGCACCATATGCAACATTTTAGATTCAGAAACCATGACTTTCCTGACCGGTGAAGACCCATGGTGATGCTGATCTTCACCATATCTGCCCTTTAATTAAAGGTGCCTGCTGGCTATTTGTTATTTTGGTTTGCAAACTAGGAGTCCAGCTATATTAACACACACGTAAAACCAGGAGACTGTCGCCATTCCCTTTACATATGGACCTTGCAAACATCACTCATGTTTTTAGTCACCTGGAGATAATGTTACTGTGATACATTCTACATAAAGCTTCAGAACTATTTGGAAAGTGAAACTGTGGTAGCTTGAATATTAAGTGGAGATCCTACTCTGCATTAGACAATCGCTGTATTACATCTTATACAATTTGCCAACTTTCTTTAGCACATCTTACCAGCAGTCAAACTGAGATTGTAACCTTCTTGCACATGCATACAAAGCTAACTGAGCCACCTTTGAGAAGCGTATCTTTTCAGGTATGCATAGTATGAGGCAGTGTCTCACAAGAGCCATTCTAATCTTTATCAGATTATCTTTCTCCAAAAAATTCTAGTGTTTATTGATGAAAAGCTAAAAATAATGTGTCCCATTTTACAATATCTTTAAGATAATAAAGTGGAGATCAGGATTTCCAAACAGCAGGTGTCACATCCCCCATTGGCTGCATCCCCCATGGGTTGCAGTAACACAAGCCATGGGCTCCATGGACCACGCACGGTGTGACCCTCACATTGTACTGTGCATTGAGGTACCTTGTCCCCAACCCTCAGCTCCCCAGTTGTACCACGCCATGAAGGCATGTCAGAAAATGGGCCCCACAAGCTGTGCCACAACACACAGGCCCCTAGGGCAAGGGCAGGAGATGGAAACCAGAGGAAGGAGGAGCCCAGAGACCCTGGCTGCTGCTGCAGCTAGAGAAATGGGAGGAATGTGGCACGCAGCCCATAAGCCACCAGTTAGACACACCTAGTTTAGACAATGACATTAGGATAAAATAATACTACTACAACAGTCCAAGGGGCAGAGTTAAGTCTGTGGAGCTGTGCTGGAATATTTATGTATTACTAGCTAAAAATAAAATATTGATTATCTAGACAGCCTAGTATTTATGACGTCCCTAGCTACTTACTTGGTTGGGTTTTGTAAATGATGGAATAGGATGACCATGTCATCATGAGTTTTGAAACAGTTGTTTGGGATGTTTTTGGAATTTTAAGTGTATGTGGTATCTGAAGAGTTCTTTTGTCGGTATTATTGGGAGTTTCATGCCCTGTTTATCCGGTGGAAAAAAATCTGTACCTTATGACTTTTTACAGCTCAAACCAAAACTCCACAAAACAAGGCACCCTAAGAGAAAGTCCCATTAGATGACCATGAACATTTATTTGAGATGATCTTCTTGGAAAAGAAAAATATTTGTAACCTGAAAATGACCCCTAGCTTTCAAAATGTGTTGTGGGATTTTCCCTTGATATGACCTACTACTAGTACACTGATAACATATGCAATGGAATATTTGTTTCCAGATTGTTTCTCTTCTGGGACTGTCCTTTCGTCAAGTATACAATAAATGAGCTGCAACTATCTTCCAACAAGTTCTGAAGGCAGATCTAACTCAGCCATGGGGGCTCTAGTGTTTGGCTAGTTCCCCTTACACCTGTGACATATGGAAATACTTAACTCTTAAAGTGGGTTTAGAATAACTTACAAACACCACCACCTTATTTAACTTCATTATCTATATACAGAAAGCCTAACAAGGCTATTTGTATACACATGCATGCATGAGTTCCGGAGAATTCAATGAGGTGGAGGAGACATGAGACGAGAGGAAGTCCTCAATCCCAGAAAGGAAATTTTTAAGTAGCAAATATAGTTTTGTTTATGATTGGTCTGTCAATCTCAGGAGGTAGAGAACAGCAAAGAATGCTTAACACACACAGACAAAAAAATGTTTCTCCTAGAGAGAAATTCAAACATAGTGCTGTCGGGTACCCTTGAGAATAGGATAGATCATCTTTACCTAGGTCCTAAGTGCTGAAAGGTTCTAACCCCCTGTAACATATACAGCCATTTAGAGGACTTCTGGGTCCCTTTTATTCCTTAAATGAGGAGGATATACATGCTGACCCAAATCTGTTTCCATGACAAGATAACACATAAGATATACACAGAAGGGGCTTAGCTGGGTAGTCCCATCAGCTAAAAGAGTCCCTGATATTTTGGCCCCCAATGGGGCAATGTTGTATTAGCCTATTAAAATCTCTAATAAAGCTTAAGCAGCTGGGATAATAATACACAAAGGAAGCACACTAAACAGCTATTTTGTTTATACTTCTAAAGGCAAAGAACCTACTGCAAAGGCAGAAAAGCCATGGTCAAATCCTAAATACAGCTAGAAACTTCTGATCTGTCTTCAGTGTTTGTAGGACACTGGGAGGGGGGGGGGTTTGTATGTGTTGATAAAAAAAAAGTAGTATCTTTTAGGTTAGAATGCTAAGTGATCACTGACTGTAATCACCATATCCTAGCTTTCCAAGCTTTAAAGCACCCCATGTGTTTCACCATACCATTCCCAAGATATGTTGCATTTGGTTGTATGCTCTACTACGTATAGCTTGTCATATAGTTAGAGGAAGCTGTATACAACTTTTAATATGCTTTCTTCTGTATGTATCCATTACAGTTTTAGAGTGCTAGAATGGGGGCCCATAAAGTCTGTTCCCTAGCACTTTTAATGAGAAATAATATGCAAGTTATTGACTCACATCAATCTAAAAATAATTCCTACCATTTTATGAATCAGGACAGACGCTCAGTGCTCTGCCCTTTGTTCCAGTTGTGCCCAGTCATGTATATGTGCACTGAAAGCAAGGTACAAAAAGCTTTCTTCCATCTTGTGTCCACAAGCCATGTAATGAAGCAATACTTTTACTTTCCGGAGACACAGGTTGCTTCAGCTCATGTTGTCTTTGCCACAAGTCAATTCAAAGCAGGTGGCAAAGGCTTGGGATCATATTTGCTAAGACCAAAGGTGGTCCTAGCAGCGATGTGCTTACCTTGGTGAGATGCAGTAGGGTTGGAGTGGTGTTGTAGCTGTAATAATCCAGGAAATGTTTCAGAGGCAAGAGTTTTTTGTGATATTTATTGGACCAACCATATAGCTGGAAAAGATGGTGGGCAAGTTTCTGGGCACAAAGCACCTTCCTCAGATCGGAAAAGTAGCAGGCAGGCTAAGATAAATAGCAGGGGGAAAAAACAATGTTCAACTGTGTATAAATGAAAGCAGTCACTTGAAGAATGAAGGATGGCCGTGAAGTAGAAGCAGGGTGAGGCAAATCAGAAGCAGCTTAAAAAACAAGGGAAATGCAGTTGAATAGAATGCAGTTGAACCTAATCACATAGAAGAACAAAACCATTCAAAAAGGAAGAATCATTTTTACCTGTAAAATACTGAGAGGTTAGTAGAGATAGCAGGGCCAGTCCAACCGTTAGGCAAACTAGGTGGGTCACCTCGGGCCTCAAAATTGGGTGGGGCGCCAAAATTATATGCAGAACAAAATAGCAGGAACATCATTCTAAATAACAGACCTGGCCAGCTACGGCTCCACCTTGGTCTAAGACCTTTAGTTTGGTAAGGGGAGAAAGAGCTCTGAAAAGATCTCAGAGAAAACACCACTAGAATTGCGACTGCTACCTTTTCAACTCTCAAGAGGATTTATGACAAGAGCATACCGCTGGCAACATCATCCTAAAAAATGAATGCCTACTCCTATGTCATCTTACACTTTATGACACTGATTTCTTACACCTTCCTTCTCCCTTCCAACCACTCTTTGAAATCTAAAGTACCCTATATTTCATCAGCTGTCTTTAAGATTTTGTCAAGAGTAAGACAACCAAAACAGGTTAGGGTTAATGAAAAGTGTGAAACAATCAAAAAAAATTGTTTTTATTGTTTTATTGTTCATTTTTAATATTAAATAAGTACATGTAAAAGTTCATTCTAGACTTCTTATTTTCCTCTATATTGGAAGTGGTGGAGGCCCGAGGTACACAGTTCACCTAGGGTGCCAATTACCCTTGGACCGGCCCTGAGAGAAAGCAGTTAGATTATAAGGACTCATAAAGCCATTATCCAGATTTAGCCCATTTTTTTTAAATGTCCAGCAAGGTTATGAATTGTTGTGTCTATGCCAGTCTTTTGAAGGTGTTTTTCAGATTTCCCTGGAGTAAGGATCTCCTGTTGAGGATTCCATCTCCTGTTGTTGTCATGAGGTTTCAAACTACAGAAGACAGAAGACTCTTCCTTCGTTTGGGGCAGTCCTGGGTGATAATCTCCCACAATTTGACACTTATGTTGCATTTTTTAAAGTTGGTTTTGGGGGATGTCTCTGAAGCATCTCTGCCCTCCTCTTGGGTGTATGCCTTGGCCAAGCTGGGGGAATAAACGTTTCTTTGGTAGCCTGGAACTGGACATCCAGATAACATGGCTAGCCCAACAGAATTGATGTCAGATGGTCATTGCCTCAATACTCATGGTGTTTGCTTATTTAACATTGGTGCATACATCTTCTCACTAGATTCGGACAATCTTCCGCAGGCAGTATTGATGGTACTTCTCTAACAACCTCAGATGTCTCCTATATGCTGTCCACATCTTAGTTCCATACAGAAAGGTGGGGATCATGACTGCTTGATAAACCATGAGCTTGGTTTCAGATCTGATGTTGCAATCTTTGAACACCCATTTCTTCAGGCATCCAAAGGCTGAAGTTACATATCTGAGGCGATGTTGGATTTCTTTGTTGATGTCAGCCTTCTGCGAGAGATGGCTTCCAAGGTATGGGAAATACTTAACATTCTCCAGTGTCTCACCATGGATCTGGATTACTAGAGCTGGGGACTGTTTGTTATGAGTTTGTTGGTGGAGGACCTTAGTCTTTTGAATGTTAAGCATCAATTCCATTTTCTTGTATGCCTAGGTAAAGGCATTGCCAATTGCCTGAAGGCTTGCTTCTGAGTGAGCACACGCTACAGCATCATCAGTGTACTGGAGCTCAATGATTGAGGTTGGGGTGGTCTTGGTTCTGGCTTGGGGTTGGCTGAGGTTAAACAGCTTACCATCCTTTTGGTAGTTTAGCTTTACCCTGCTGGAAGCTTGTTGTTGGTCAGATGTAGCATCACATCAAGGAATATTGAGAAGAGTGTTGGAGCAATGATGCAGTCTTGCTTAACTCCCATTTTTACTTCAAAGGGATCTGTGATAGATCCATTACTGAGAACCACTGCTCATACACCATCATGGAGCAGGCAGAGAATGGTGACAAATTTTGCTGGGCATCCATACTTCAGAAAGATCCTCTACAACACTTCTCAGCTGGTAGAGTCAAAAACTTTCGTGAGGTCAAAAAAGGCTTATATAGAGAGAGGCCTGTGTTGTATCACTGAACATGTATACAATATACCAGATTCAGTGATAGATCTATGTAGGATCCATGAGTCTGATGGTTTTGTTGTGGTCACAGTGGAGATATGACAACAGGTTTTTTGCATGTATTGCTGAGGCAGTATAGTGACCTACTTGGTGGCTCTTGATTAGTAGGGAGTTTGTTTCTGATGATGAGTTGAGTGAGTTTAGAGGTTGTTTAAAAGCCAAAAGTGGGACTATTATTTTGAAGGTCTGATCTACTTTGAGTCCAGCCTGTAAATGTTTGATGCATGTCCACCAACAAACTCATAATGAATAGTCCACACCTCAAGTAATCCAACATCCTTCTTATATATCCCAGCCTGTGATGGCATGTGACAACCAGGGATGCATGGTCAGTGGGGTTTTCTTTTTATATTATTGTAGGTTACTGTAGGGTATTTGGGTGCATTATTCAAAGATATGGTCTGTTTCTCTACTAGAAGTGTTCTTGCTGGGTTCTTGCAGTTTTCAAGTTGGTAATGCGAGTCTCACAAGTATTCTTGTCAGAACAAATGTGGTGCCTTGGCAAGTTGAGTTGTTCTAGCTTGGGGAAGAACAAGTCCTTACATGTAACACATCTTCTACTGCCAGCTACATGTGGTTCAGTTCGATCAATATCTTTAGAAAGACCTACTCACAAATCTGTAGGTGAAAGTCTTAGAAACAGATAGACTTTGCACTGTCCTCTGAAGTCTAGAGACACAATTTTATCAGATTAACCATGAAGGAAGTGAATTCTAGAATGAAGGAGCCAACACACAGGCATCAGAGTAGGATGGGAAGATCAACTTAAAAAACATCTAGAATGTCCAAAGTAGTGAGAGTTATCAGTATGTGGAATTGTCTCCACAACAGGGACAATGAAAGCCCCATCACTCAAATTATTTCAAACTAGATCAGAAAAGCAGTAGGAATTATAATAGAAACTCCTCACTGATAAAAGAGATGACCTAATACATCTTCTCTGTTGCTAAATTATATTATAATAAATAGACACTGAGAAGCTAACATATCTCTGAGTGATTTTTAATGGAATTGCTTAAAAAAAAATCTTGATATTTTGACATTTTACTTTTGATTCTGTTCAGCATGTTACATATAATTTTAGTAAATAACAATAAGAAAGTTCAAGGTGTGGAATAGAAATTAAAATTGACTGCAGAGCTGTCATTCAAAGCATTGCAGCCTTGTAGCCTATAATGTTTTGCACATACGGCACACCACTACTATTTGAATCTAGCAATTCTTCGATAAGGTACTTGGGTTGAAATATTGAGTTGTGGCAAAAATTGATTCCATTGGCTAAGCAACTTATTATCTTATGCTCTTAATTGGGTCCTGTCATTCTAGCTGCAGGCCAAACATAGGAAGACTTTTTCCCTTGTGATGGAAAGCAAACCAAGCTAACAGCCCCAGATTCCCTGGAATAAACTCAACACAACTATATGGGGTCCCTCAGGGCTCAGTCCTTGGCCCTGTACTATTCAATGTCTTCATCAGTGACTTGGATGTGGGCGTGAAGTGTATTTTGTCCAAGTTTGTGGATGACACTAAATTGTGGGGTGAAGTTAACACACAGGAGTGTACAGAACGATTGCAAGTGGACCTGGACAGGTTGCAAAAGAGGGCAGAACACAATAGGATGCAGTACAACAAGGACAAGTGCAGAGTGCTACACATAGGATGTAAAAATATCCAGCACACTTACTGGCTGGGGAATGACCGTCTCAGCATCACAGAAGTGGAAAGGGATCTCGGAGTCATAGTGGACTCCAAGATGAACGTGAGTAGTCAGTGTGACAAAATCATCAGCAAAGCTAGAAGGCTGAGAGGTAATCTTGTGGTTGCCTACAAATTCATTGGGGGATGGCAGCAAGGAATCAGAAATGCTCTGTTCACCAGGGTGCTTCTTGGGATAACAAGGAACAATGGTCACAAAATGACAGAAAGCAGATTTAAGCTGGACATCAGGTAGAGCTTCTTCACAGTGAGGGTGGCCAGAATTTGGAATGGGCTTCCAAGGGAGGTGGTGCTCTCCCTTACCTTGGGGGTGTTTAAGAGAAGGCTGGATAGGCATCTGGCTGGGGTCATCTGCCCCCAGCATTCTTTCCTGCCGAGGCCCCAGGGCAGGGGGTCCAACTCAATGATCTTTTGAGGTCCCTTCTGACCCTAGCATCAATGAATCTATAATTTTTTCCCTCTGCCCCTCATCCTTTTAAGCTGATGGCCCTATAAATTAGTAAATGTAAAGAACACTAGTGAAATTATTTGTATTTAAAGTATGAATATGGGTTACTTTCCAATTCTCTCAGCTAAATATTTACACACTAATTAGTTCCTAAATGGGAAATACTTTATAGAGGGCAGGTGAGGGGCAACACCCCCTCTATTCTGTTGGAACTATGTTTCCTGCAGTAGGTAACAACAGAGTTCTGCTTGCCACCTCTTACCCATTTCTTTGTACCACAACAAGCAGAAGTCAAGTGCCGCTAAATCTCACTTCTGTCCTGAAATCTCCAAACAATGCTCTTCATCACTAAATTCACATCTGAGGCAGGGATACTTGCATAGAATCTCAGGCTCTTCCTGGCCTTTTCCTCTCCACATCATTTGTGTTGTAAGATTCTCCAATGCAATT